CAGTAAACAAAACACCCCACCCCAAGCAAAGCTTTCTACAATTTGAACAGGGGGAAGAGCCAGAACCTCCACAAAGAGCACCAGGGCGAGGCAATCTCTTTAATGTGGGAGTTGCTCAGATACTAAGGTGGTGGGTACCCCAACAAAGCCATCAGACAGACTAGCTGGAATGGAAGAGCTGCTGGAGACTAGCACCCACAGCAACAGCAGCCTCCTGATAGGAAGGAGAGATGCAAGGGCAAGACCCTGTCTCCCTCTGCACCTGTAAGGATGGGGCCGTTTCCCATAGCCATATTGTAAGGTCTGAGACCTTCTGCAGTCATATTAGAAGACCAGCAGCCATGAACCAAGAAGCAGAAAGTCACGTCCCCACATTCCATCTCAATTACATTAAAACAAGGTAATATCAGGCTGTTAAGAAGGCGCTCTGTCCTAATAGTACCCACCATCACCAGATAAAGAAACAGAGCTTAAGATGGTTAAAGAAAACCAGAGGCAAAACCCTTTCACCTGTAAAGGGTTAAGAAGCTAAGATAACCTTGCTGGCACCTGACCAAAATGACCAATGAGGAGACAAGATACTTTCAAACTGGAGGAGGTGGGGGGAACAAAGGGTCTTTCTGTCTGTGTGATGATTTTGTCGGGAAAAGAACAGGAATGGAGTATTAGAACTTGTTAGTAAGTAATCTAGCTAGAAATGTGTTAGATTTCCTTTTGTTTAAATGGCTGGTAAATAAGCTGTGCTGAATGCAATGTATATTCCTGTTTTTGTGTCTTTTTGTAACTTAAGGTTTTGCCTAGAGGGATTCTCTATGTTTTGAATCTGATTACCCTGTAAGGTATTTACCATCCTGATTTTACAGAGGTGATTCTTTTATTTTTTCTTCAATTAAAATTCTTCTTTTAAGAACCTGATTGCTTTTTCATTGTTCTTAAGATCCAAGGGTTTGGGTCTGTGTTCACCTATGCAAATTGGTGAGGATTTTTATCAAGCCTTCCGCAGGAAAGGGGGTGTAGGGCTTGGGGGGATATTTGGGGGGAAGACGTCTCCAAGTGGGCTCTTTCCCTGTTCTTTGTTTAACACGCTTGGTGGTGGCAGCATAGGGTTCAAGGACAAGGCAAAGTTTGTACCTTGAGGAAGTTTTTAACCTAAGCTGGTAAGAATAAACTTAGGGGGTCTTTCATGCAGGTCCCCACATCTGTACCCTAGAGTTCAGAGTGGGGAAGGAACCTTGACAGCATTCTGTCTGGCAAGAAATCACTTATCAACAGTTGTGGTTGTGAAATCCCTACTTAGAATCATAGAATATCAGGGTTGGAAGGGACCTCAGAGGTCATCTAGTCCAACCCCCTGCTCAAAGCAGGACCAATCCCCAATTTTTGCCCCAGATCCCTAAATGGCCCCCTCAAGGATTGAACTCACAACCCTGGGTTTAGCAGGCCAATGCTCAAACCACTGAGCTATCTCTGTATGGTCCTCAGTTCTCTATTATTTATCTGTATAGTCTCTGATTCTTTGATTGTTACTGTCTGTTACATAACTAATTTTGCTAGGTGTAAATCAGTTAAGGTGGTGGGGTATGATTAGTTAAATAATTGTTTTACCATATATTAGGATTGGTTAGAAAATTTGTTTAGTAATATTTTAGTAAAATGATTGGTTGAGGTGTAGCTAAGGAAGACTCAAGTTTCACTATATAAACTGTGGTCCAAAAGAAAGTTCTTTGGAACCAACTCCAGGAGACAGCCCCAAGATCAGAGCTGCCAGACCTCAACACCCTGCTAATCACACCGTGCAGAAACTGGCGTCCACAGATGACCTGATCCTGACTAGCCATCAAGAAAAGTTCATCTGCCTTATTGGGAGTGGTGAGCATTGTATGCTGAGTGTGTGCATTCTGTTTTGCTAACTGTTAATAAATAGAGGTTAAGTATATTACTGTGTAAGGCTCTTTCACTGGTAAAAGACCCCGTAAACCCGCAAAATATTACACCCTGAGCCCCAGGAATTGGGAATGGGTGGCCCTGAGCCCTGGGAATTAGGTAAGGGTAGATTCCTTTCACCCAGAGCCCTAGGAACTGGGAAAGGATGGGGGTGCCTAAATCAAGTGGGTTACACTTTGAGCCCTAGGAACTGGGTAAAGGTGGGTGCTTTATGTAATAGGGAATTTTGTGCAGGTAACACACCATCTTGTACAGGGGAAATGCATACTGCTCTCTTTCAAAGGTTGTATCAGCATCCACATTCCCCCAGCCCTCAGGCACAATGGGATAGATTCTAGGGCCACTGCAGGGACCAAGGGGAGGTAGCTCACACCTTGCTAATTTTGGGGCTGCTGAGGGCTGGTTTGGCTCCTAGAGCAGGCTAGGGCAATCCTGGTTGCCCATGCCCCCTATTAACCTGTACAGCTGGAGAATAACAAGGCATAGGGGAATGCTGGCCACACCTCCTCTCCTGCTCCTGGCCCATTCCAGAATACCCTTGGGGCTCCACTGGCTCTGTAAATGATGTGCAATCCTGCTTTACCCTATCCTTTGTGTGAGGGGGGTGCAAGGAGAGGGAGCGGGGGGGCTGTTGCCAGCTGCAGCACAGAGGTAAGTTCCCCAGTGCTGCTGGGAGCTCCTGTTGGGCCAGGGTGGTTCTGCACACCAACCTACATTTTATGATACTGCCCTGGGGCCCTTTAAATCCCTGCCTGAGCCCTGCTGCCTGATCCCTGGGGTAGCGGCGGCGGGGCTCTGGCGGGGATTTAAAGGCCCTGGAGCTCCAGCCGCCGCTACCCCCTCCCCGGGCCCTTTAAATCCCGGCCTGAGCCCTGCTGCCCGAGCCCCGGGGTAGTGGCGGCGGGGCTCTAGCAGGGATTTAAAGGGCCCCGGGCAGTAGCGGCGGCTGGAACTCCGGGGCCCTTTAAATCCCCCGCCAGAGCCCCGCTGCCGCTACCCCAGGGCTCGGGCAGCAGGGCTCAGGCCGGGATTTAAAGGGCCCGCGGGTGGGTAGCAGCGGCCGGAGCTCCGGGGCCCTTTAAATCCCTGCCGCAGCTCCGCCGCTGCTACCCCAGGGCTTTAAATTGCCCTCTCGGAAAGCCGGTCCTGATACGGCACATCGGCTCTTACCGGTACGCTGTACTGGGGTGTACCGGCTTACTTTCACCTCTGCTTCTCACCTCAGATCCTCACCTCCCACAATGATATAAAGATGATGAGTGAAACCTTGGAAACAGAATCTTAGTATAAATCAAAGGATGGATTTTAAAGTGCACCATATTGCATGCAATAGTTTGAAGACCTGTATCAGAAATGCTCCTACTTCATACAGTTACATTTTCACTGCCCTTTTGTTCTTGGTGCCAGAATATAATATCTAGGCACAGAAAGTATGTATCAGTTGCGAGACAAGTTTAAAAATGACCGTGAGAACTTCACTTGCGATGCTGCTGCTCATTAACGAACGCTCATTGTGGCAAACGAAATACATTAAAAATTGCAACACCATTCATCGCTACAATGTGGCAAAGATTTCATGCACAGCAAGACTGGGTTTGCATAATCTAAGACGCCATGCTGTCAGCTACAGTGGGAGTGTGGGAGGAAGTGAGTGCTTCCTACTACCATTATATCACTCCTGCTGGCTGACCTGGATGGAAAACTAGTACACTAAAAGGGGCCTGATTCCTGTCATTAGGCCAGAAAGGACAATACTGAAATGCTCAAGCTGTAGCAGAGGAGGAATATACTGTAGTAAATGGCCCTGCTCCAGATTAGTGCTGTGCCCTGTATGATGAGAGTGATTCTCAATGGGAGGAAGGGGAAAAGTGAAAGAAGAACGTCGCTTTAAGCAGCACTGCAAGGATAAAGCCTCCAATCTACTGCTGTTGGTGATCCTGGAATCGGTTTCCCAGCCAGAGATAGCCAACTCCGGGGAGCCTGGCTGTGGGGAAGAGGAGATCAGGCAGCAGTTGTGAGGAGTTCTCATAGGGAACTGCAGAAAACCCCCAATAAAGAAAAGAGTTCTCTGCTATTTTTAGAGTAGTACTGACAATCCAGTTTTTGTGGGGATTTGAACAGTTCATGAATTCCCAACAATAGTCCGTATCTACTTATTATGAAAGAATCTCGCTGGCTTTACAGAATTCAAGAATCAGTCAGGGTCTTTGCCATAATCTAGCTATTATGGTTGTTTTTAAAGGTTTTTCTTTTTAAAAAAAAATCAAATTCAGATTATTTCTTGCAGGCAGGCAGAAGGACACAGCATGCAAGATTGTTTTTTGGCTGGCACAGAACTGGGCTCCTAACTATTTGGCAGCTCACGTGGTAAATGAACACATTTCTATCAAAGCGAGTTTATTACAAATAATTTGCCAGCTCCCACCCAATTCATGAAGCACTTTCCAATATCTGAAAAAGCACTGCATGAATCAAGGAAAAGAACATAAATAATCAAAAAAGCGGTTTAGTCCCAATTCCCTTTGACTAAGCCCAGTTCTTAGCCTGGTTCCCTTTTTATTCTTTCTGATAGAAACTCCAATTCAGCAAAGCACTTAGGCACATGCTTAACTCTAAGCACAAACTTAAGTGTTTGCTGAATTAGGGACGGAGGTTCTAGGAAGGATGGATTAATTCCCTATATGCTTCCCAGTTAGGTCCTTAGTCCTAATGATCCAAACCAATCCTGTTGTTGGTTCCATTTTCACTCCCACGCTGTGTTGCATCTTGGCTACTGACCTTGAGAACTGGATGGCATTCACTTCAGGACCTGCTAATAATGTCCCCTCTGAAAGTGGAGGTGGAGGTCACTGCTGAGCACAGGACTAATCCAGGACTGGACATACTGCTTCCAGACCCTTCGCAACCCGCACTGGCCCAGTCACATAAAAGGCAATGTCTAACAATTGATCTAATGTCTCTAATACAGCACAGAGTGCTTCACCAAAGCCAGGAGACAGTCAGTATCTGGCCGATAACAGCAACTGTGAACAAACCTAGAATATTTGAATTTTTACCTCATCTTGTTGTGAATTTAGTAGCTGCAGTTTCATGTGCTTCATGTAGGCCATAGTAATCGGCATATTGTAATCAATCATACTGGTCACCAAAGTTGGAGGTTTTCCATTATCTGTAACATAAATATATTTATTATGCATGATATATTGGAGGACACCTCTGCCTGATCTGCAGTCAAATGTCAGACAGTTTCTGTAATTTGGCTCCAACTTTGGCATTTTCAATTGCTCTTTGGCTTTACAGATAGAAGTTTCTATGAAAAAAATATATGAATCAAGCACAAGCCTAGGAAAAATTATGAGCTCTTCTATCCTAAATGACTACAGTGCATGCACCCCATCTATCCCCTACTTTTAAATGGATGTATAAACATTTCCATAGAAAAATAAATGATTTCCTCCAGGTAAAATCATCTTTCTGTTGAGGATGAGCATAGCATTTCACTCCATCCCTTAGGTGAACGCAGAAGATTCACTACTTTATAACTTAACTAAATGAGAAGATCTGACTTGTTGAACTGTTCCAGTCTACCAAATTTTTATGAACCTTCACTTAAACTAGGAAAATATAAATGGGTATTAGGAATAAAATTACTTTACATCCCACCATTTGACACTAAAACTACCTTTATGATCCGCTCCATCTGGGCTTAAATGCATTCTTTTCTGGCATTCTGAACAGCTCATTAGAAATCGTGTCACCGCTTCTCTAGGCAGGAAGGCATAGGTCTCTGAAATCTGAAATGAATAACAAAATATAGGTGTTATTATATAAGCTGACTAAACATGATTTAACAGAATTGATCATTATATTTCCGTATAAGACATATTATTCCATAATGCCAGGAAGCACAATGAAAGCATGTACAACATACTCTGCAGCATTTCCAGAAACATCTACCTAATCTGGCTCCTTATCATTTAATGGCTAATAATAGTCGATTCTGAAAAATGCACTCATTTTAAAAGGCGCTTTGTTTTCTTATTTATATTTTTTGCAATTTCTTTTCAGCAAAATTATTCATATATAACAGGCACCCAAGTGAGGGGTTTATTTTAAACCCACTGAAAAGCTCCCAGCTATTTTTGTTACAGGGTGTACCACAAAAACTTCCTTAGTTTCTAAGTTTTATTTATTTTAATTTGAACAATATGTCAGCAAATAGGTACCGGACCCAATAGATTAGGAATGTTGACAGTCTCCTTCCTCACTGGTCTATTCTTGTCTTCATTACATCTTTTGTGAACATTTTCACAGCGTCAATGATTAATACTCTGATTTAAATAAAACCTTTCTGCTAATCGCTCTAGAATTTAGCAGTCAATCAACCTCAATGGTTCCTTTGGTGTACCTTGAAGTAATACATTTTGGCCATCCAGTCCAAAATTATCAAATTTTCATATTTTATGTTCATACACAATCATAAAGTCTGACATCTGAGGGTGTGTGCATCTGGTCTCCTGCAGATCAGCAAACACAACTAGTGCCACAATAAATTTCTGGGCCTCAATTTGCCAATTGACTGCTTTGCAAAACAGATTGCTCCTGAAGAGAGAGTCAGATTCAGCAGCAGAAATTAAAAGAGGAGTAGATTGACACCCACTTGTACTCTGCTGCTGGGAAGCCTGCAGCAGGATCCCACTTCGCTACTGAAGGGTGGCAATGCTGATGTAAGTCGACATAGTGGACCAAGGTGAAAAGATGGAGGGCTAAGTTCAGAGGAGGTATGTGTAAAGTGGTGTAAGTTACATTTCAATAAATGGGTGTAAGTGCAGTTAAATATGTGAAAATAGGTCTAACTAAGCATAAGGGAGCAGGAAGAAGGTGAGCTGGCCTATTTTAACCATCTTATCTCCTTCTTTTGGCAATCTGTCTCCTGGCTACTCAGTGCTGTAAATTACACTCCTTTAAATACTTCAGTGGAGCAGATTCAGAAGTGAAAATGTCACTAAACTGGTGTGAGTTCAAATTGGTGTGATTTATATGCTGATGGGCCCTTAAACTCACCCATCAATTTGGTCTGAAGGGATGAAATAAGCAGCAAACTATTCATTAAAAATTATTAAGAATGTGAATTATACCATTATGTCTATGCTGCTAATGTTAAGGCTGTTTGATTGTTTCCGTTATAAACCTTTGTTTCAGGGGTGTTATAACATGAGAAAATTTCTTTCTGAGCTGAAACTTGGCACATATTGTCTTAGCCCCAAAAGAAATTTGTCTGAAAACATTAAACTAAACTACTTTTTAAATTAGAAATTCAGCAAAAAAAATTTCTTTGCATTTCAGATCAATTTTGCCCACTTCTACAAAACAAAACCAGCTGATTTTTTTAAAGCGTGAAAACATGAGTTGGACTGAGTTTTTACAGCATCTAAAAAAGAATAATTTTAAATCAGCTAGAAATTAACATTTAGAAATTAGGAAGTGCACATATGCAGCTCTTTCATAACATTTGAACACATTTGGAGTTTGGCTGTATTGAAATTAATGGAGCTTACCCACAGATTCATTAGTAGCCTAGATTTGATAGGAATGCTCCATGTATTCTAATCAAGCATTTCTGTCAAATACTGATTCCACTTAAATAGGATTGAAATCCCTCTGTGGGGAACAACTGAGTTAAGCCCCCGATTTGATGGGAGTGCTCCCCTGACTACAAGGGAACATCAACTCCCACAACTGAATTTGTTCACATGGCAGATCCTTCTGTCTCCAACCTCCCACTATATGTATTCAGGGATACCCATCCTTATATAATGTTAACCTTGGCCAACTTCCCCTTTCTTTTACCTAGTGAATTGGCTCAGATTAATTACATTTTATGGGTTAAATATTCAGCTGGTGTAATCAGGTTTGGCTCAATGAGCGTCAAGTCATTGGAGCTATGCCAATTTCCACCAGCTCAGGATCTGGCCCACGTATCTTTATGCATTTATTTTTAAATGATAAATTGTGCTTCCCAGTAGTTTGATACAGCACTGCTTGTGTGTGTGCAGCAAATTGCTCTCCTAGGGGTAGCAAATGGGAAAGTGATGCATTTTGCTTCCACCACCAGAAAAATAAAAATTGTGGGGCCAAATCGTGCTTGCCTTTCTCACAGAAGGAGTCCTGTTGAGTTAATTAGTGCTTTTCATGTCAGTGAGGACAGCAAGATTTAGTCAATGATCTTATTTCATAAGAAAACATTCTTTGTGTCCTTCCAGTTCTACCAAAAGATGACAGTAATGGCCCAATTCTGCAACCCTTGCTCATGTGAGTATTCCCATCGGTGTCAGTAGCATTGCTCTTTAGAGTAAAGACTATAGTTAAGGGCTGTAAGAGAGAAGGACTTGTAACTTCCTAGCGTGCTCAACATCAGCTTCTCTCACACAAGGATGGAAGGGTAGGGGAAGACTTACACAGATCATTAGAAAATTCCATAAGTACAAGCGTAACTATAGTACTGTGGCAGGTGGGGCTGCCCCATGGCACACCTCTGCAGGGCCAACCATGGTGTTGCAGGTGCCCCTTGTCCCAGTCCACCAGTTGTGGCCATAAGCTAAGTATCAGGCTATACATAGTTCAATAAATATGACAAACTCAGACTTTGGCAATCTCCACCTTTAAACTACCAAACAAAACAAAACTCCAAGGCAAACACCTGTCTGCAGTGCTTGAGGGCAAGGCCCCGGCCTGGCTCTGAGATTCTGGGCTATTATAGAGGAACTCTTCCTGCATCCCAATCTCAGCCTGCAGTGCCATGAGAAGAAGCAGGCAAACCTTCTTAACAGGCCCACTGGCTCTAGATTGGTCAGCATTTCCTCCTGGCACTTATTGAGGCCGTTAAGCCTGTTCTGTTCCATTGTAATTTTAATATGTGGAGATAATTGCCTCTGTGTTCTGCCTTCAATGTTTAGATTATTTTAGTGCATTATGTGTTATTTATTATGTAGCCTTTTTTAGCCACATGATTATTTGTAAAACTAACAAGCACTAAACTAAAAGGTAGGTCTTAGGGCACATGCGGCAAATGTGAGGAACAGAAGTAAGATTTTGCAAGTGCACTTAATAACCCTTAAGGCATTAATAACAGAGCACACATGTGTATAGTATGGAAGAAATGGTGTGTCAGAAAAGCATATAGTTTCATTTCTTTTCTTTTAAAAAAAATCAGAAAGGAACCAGAGGGAAAAAATAGAAGGTGGTATATAGCCCCAACCCCAGGGCCATCAAATCAGGTAGTTGAACCAGATTCCTTGATGACAGAAGTGTAAATAACAGAATCAGTGGTTCCAGAGTAGCAGCCGTGTTAGTCTGCATCCGCAAATATACTCCTTTTCTTTTTTTAGAGTCAGTGGTGGAAGTCAAGGGATGCCCTCTTCCTCCCTGACGTCAGGCTAACAAATGAAGACAGAATTATTTCATTATTATTTTTATTATTACATGGTTTTACAGGGAATCGGGGTGCATTGTATACAGTTTTTAGATCAAGACCAAAAGGCATTGAGTCCTGAGCAGGGAGCTTATGCTATGCAATCCCCAATCCCTCCTTCAAGTAATGGAACCAACATCCTGAAAGGGCTAGAGATGGGGAATAGCAATTTGTTGACAAAATGCCAGGAGATTCCAAAACTGCAGTATGTAGACAGCCAGAACAAATATGCTGATTAAAAATACATAGGGCTTGACTGTGCTCAGCCTGTGTGTGGTTGTGTGAAGGGAAGAGAGGGCACAAGGAACCCTTCTCACACTTTGAGGCCTGTGCTAGGTCTGGGCACAATTGCAGTCTTTATGCTTCCCCAACAACAAGGTCTGCTCCAGGCAAGTGCCGCTGTTGGAGGGAAAGTGCTGGCCCATGGTCCTGCTCTGTCTCTGTGCTGGCTAGGGAAGCTGGCCTAACAAGTGAGAATATGGGAACACATGCTGCACCCAGTCAAAGAGCGGCACTTCCCCGGGAGCAATAGTTATAATGGTTAGAGGGCAATAGACAAGGTGTTTGTGTGATCTGATTTTTCAAACTATAATGTATCTGTCACTGTTCAAATCTTTTGCTTTAGAGGGTGAGAGAAGAAGAAAGAGGGGATAAGCTACATAAACTTTGGCTGCACAAACTCAAACTGGAAAGCCCAGTTGTTGAACCACCTGGGTGAACTGTTAAACCCTGGCTCAGCTGACCACTCACATTCACCTACATGATCAGAGACTTTCCATCAAATTGCTTCCTCGTGAAATGGCAGCAACATTAGCAGCTCATATCTTATACTTATATACACACCACAAACCTATCGCCCTCCCATTTCATCTTTCTGTTACACTTTCCTCACTCCAGGTGCTGCAAAATTATTAACTGTTTTCTATCTACATTGGTCCTGCTTCTTAGACATTGTAAGCCTCTTCTCAAATCTGCTGTCTAGACATCTAGGCCTATCTTAAACCCTTTTAACATGTCAGTTATCTATGATACTTGTCATAGACCCCTACTTATACGGAGAGGGTACAGGTTGGAAGGGATATGGTGTTTTAAGTATAACTTTAACAATTAATTTCCTGGCCTTTTGATTTTTTTTAATTAATTACATCTTTTTCCTTAAGTGAGCAAAGGCAAAGTGGGGAAGAGGCATTCAAGGGGGATTATGTAGTCATCACAGCTGGTGAAGAGAAAAAAATGAAGTTAGAATGTAATTGTTTTTTTCTAGAAGGGGATTCAATTGTAGCTTGTGTTAAATAAACATTCCATCTGAGACTTTTAAAAAGT